AAAAAAAAAAAAAAAAAAAAAAAAAGATTCACTCAGTGTGAAAAGAAGATGGTTGAAAATGTAGCTTCCCTCCCATTCTTCACCTTCCACTTCCCAGTCCTCCTATCCAGAGACTATTGCTGTTTATGCTTGTAGATTTTAAAAGCCACTTAGATCTTAAGATATTTTTAGGTTATAACAAATAGGTTTGGGGAATTTATTTTATCCCAGTAATTATAGATTGTCCTTAACTTGAATAAAATTAGATAGAAAATGTACATATTTAGTAAATAAATATGAAGTTGGATATAGTTCTTTTTTACTTTTTATTTTGAAATAATTATAGAGTCACAGAAAGCTGCAAAGATAGTACAGAGTGAAGTCCTGTTATCCTTCACCCACTTTCCCCAGTGGTTATGTCTTAATTATAGTACAATATCAAAACCAAGAATTTGACGGTGGTACAGTGTGAGTGTATAGTTCTGTGTCGTTTTATTACATGTGTATATTTATATAACCACCACCACAATCCAGATGAGATCTAGTTTATCACCACAGAGAACTTCCTTTATAAAGTCACACCCATCACCTCCGCACATCATCCCTAACCCCAGGCAGCCAACCACTAATCTGTTTTCCATCTCAATAATTTTGTCATTTGAGAATGTCCTATAGATGGAATCATATAATATGTGACCTTTTGAGATTGGCTCAAATGATTGAGATCCATCCAAGTTGTTGCATGTGTCAATGGTTTATTCCTTTTTGTTGTTAAGTAATATTCTATGGTGTGGATGTACATGGGTTATTGAGTGCTTATTGTATATAACAGCATATCTATTGATACCTTAAGCAATCCAAAGAAAAGTTTGATATAGTTCCTATTTTTGATGACTTTACAACCTCACAGAAAAGATACATATATATAAGAAAGGATGATACATGTGGTATTGATGTTTGTAGACTAGAATAGACCTTGAGAATTACAGGGAGTTTGGAGGAGGAAGGGGGACATAGAGCAATTGTGAGAGCTCTGTTGCCTGGAATAGGAGAGAAAATTTTTCGGGAGGAGGTAGAACTTGTGTTAGGCTTTGAAAATTGGGAGAGGTTTGCATAGGTGGATAGAGAAAAATTGGGAAAGCATTGTATGTTAGGTAATAGTATGAACTAATTAACATGCAAAGGCAGAGAATTTGCTGGGCGCATTGAAAGACTGGTGTGACTAATGTAAACATTTCAGTGGTGGAATGTTGGTAAAGTAAATTGGGGCCAGATTTCCATGAGCCTTGAATGTCAGGTTAAGAAATCTGGGCTTTAAAATTTTGAAGCAAGATATTTAAAGTCAATTTTTATATGTCTTACAAGATTTTTTGCTGGGGAATTAACAAAAGATAAGTGGTAGAAGGGTGGAAGAAAGTTCGGGGGAAAGAGACTAAGTGCAGAGAGAGCTATTAAGAGGTTAGAATATCAAGACATGAGACTCCAACAGAGGGATGGTGTTGATAGGAATGGATGGATGCATATGACAACTATTTAAGAGTTGTTTCCTGGTTTTTGTTTCTTGTTTTTTTTTTGTTTTTTTTTTCTCCTCAGCAAAAAAGAGTGGCGGTCACATCTCAAACATTTTTTAAAATTTCACTTTAGTCACAGTTAATTACTCATTACTCATTACACAGTTACTTTCTCATTACTAAAAATCAGAAGTGACCTGAATTTTTTAGTAACTAACATTTTTAGCTTAATGTTCTTTAGTAGATAATAATGAAGATTTCTTTGAGTGTAGATCACTTTTGTAATGATTTGTGAAACTGGGTCTTTTGTTGGATGTGCTTATTAAAATTAAAAAGCTCAATTCTTATAACTGAATACTATGAGGAGGGTACAAACAGCTCTCTAATATCCAATACAGATGGAGGGAAACAGTGGTGTGAATTGCTAGAAATTGAATGCTCTTTCATACCTTTTAAGAAAGCATGTATCTGAGGTTGTGATAGGTAGGAGTTAGAGAAATGGCCTAATGGTGGGAAGCTGGGATTTAGGTGGGAAGCTGGGGTTTAGTAGGTACTGTGCTACAGTAATGGGGCAGCCCATCTCCAGAAAAAGGTAATAATTGAGGACTGTCTCAAGTCTAGCTGAGTTGGTGTTGGTTGTCTGTAGGCACATGCTTGGCTTCCATTGCTTTGTCCTCAAAGCCTGATCGAGGTGCTAGGGGAAGGACCTGGACCTTAAACCTCACTAAGGAGAGAATCATAGATGACTATATATACTAAATCAGGTTTTACTAAGAAATCTTCCAATTAACCTCTCTAGAGATCAGATCCTCTGGTAGGTGCCATATCACTCCTTAAAACTAGGACTTAACAGCAGTTTACCTTATAGGAGTTGATATCTTTCAAAAGTTCAAAGTCTAAGAGAGTTTTGTTAAAGCCAAATAAAATAGAAGCCTAATCATTGCTTGGCAGTTTTGGTCTGTGATCTTTGTAAGTATTAAAACAAATTAAATTGAGGTACAGGAATTATTAGAATGTATTTTTCTTAGGTTAACTTGGAGAAAATATCCACGGAATTAAGGTTGTACAGTGCTTCTGATTTCCCTACTAATGAATAGTTATTGGAGGGTAATTGGGTAAATACAGTTAATTTGTAGGACAGTTGAAGGTGTTTCTCTAATATTCATTAACCGTTCTTAATTATCATCAGCTTTCAAGAATTCTTTCTCATCTTGTCAAGATGGCTATTTCAGGGTGGTCAGGGAAGGCTTTTCTGATGTAATAATGCCTGAGCTATGACCCTAAGGATGGTAAGGAACCATCCAGTTGGCCAAAGTATAATTGTGTGGTTGTGATGGGAGAGGGAGGTGAGAAATATAGATGTCAAAGATGTAGGCAGGAACCATATCATGTTAGGTGCTCATGGGCTGTGGTAGAGTTTAGATTTTATCTAATACTTCAAATTCCATGAAACAACTTTTCTCTAGAAGAATCTATATAAGAATTGGTAGTATTTCCCAAATGCTGGGAGGAATTCAGTGAAACAACTTTTCAGCTTGAAGATATTGGAAGTCGTACAGAAATTTCTCTAGCACATTATTAAGTCTTTAGCATTATAATAATCTCTGGAGTAGAGAAATTATTGAAGCCTGTCCTGATACTTGTATAATTGCTACCTTAATACATACATACATCCTTATGTATCTTAGGTCACTCATCTGTCAAAAATGGTTATAGTGACTTTCTGACAAGCTCTGTGATGTACACCAAGAATTATGAAAAGTTTTTTTTCTCAGTATTAGTGGTAGCATTCAAATTACTGTACTTCTATAAATGTAAAGAAAACTTAAGATGGAAAAGAATATTGTGTTAAGATTTGCAAATGTATGATTATCTTACTTTACCCGAATTTTTTTTCCAACGGAAATGCAGCATCCATTTTACCTTCTCTAACCTCCCAAATATATATATATATGTACGTATGTGTATATGAATGTATACGTAGATATATATGTATTTTTGGTGGGTTTAATTTTTTTCATCTGTTACTGTTTTGGGGACTTCATTTAATACCAGTTAAATCTTGATTCCTTTTTTTTTTTTTTTTTCTTGCGTTATGCGGGCCTCTCACTGTCGTGGCCTCTCCCATTTGCGGAGCACAGGCTCCGGACGCGCAGGCTCAGTGGCCATGGCTCACGGGCCCAGCCGCTCCGCGGCATGTGGGATCTTCCCGAAACGGGGCACGAACCCGCGTCTCCTGCATCGGCAGGCGGACTCTCAAGCACTGCGCCACCAGGGAAGC